GACCTTAATTTGGCTTGCCAATATAACTTTAAACGACTGTCAGCCAACTGACAGCCTTGCCCGGCGTAGTTTCGTTTTTATGTTGAATTGGTAAGTGTGATATATTATATCAGCTTATATGTAGGGGCAAAATGACTGGTCTTTCATCTGAGCCCGCGAGATGGTCAAGTGATTATTGTCAGCGGATGTTTGATTTTGACAGCTGTCAATCTAATCGTACTCATACGGATGGCTTACATAACTGAAAGGCTAGTCAAGTTGTGCAAGATCTATTGTGACATTTGACATCGGCTTAAATGAAGTGTGTGTACCGGTGGGCGGGCGGGCGGGCGGGCGTACGCTACGTCATAACCAAATTTTCTCGAATGGATAGTTTACCAAATTTTGTTACCCATGGTGCTCCGCTGCGCGCGCGAGAGCTCCGTTATAAATTAAGAAAAAGCTTGGTGAAATAAATATGTCTTTAAGTGTTTTTTGAAAGAATTCAAGGAATCGGAATTCCTTAAAGATGTGGGTATGCTGTTCCGTAATTTAGGTCCTGCCGCAATAGAAAATCTTCGATCGCCATAACAATTTAGCTTAGACCTCGGTACTTGAAGTAACTTACTCTAGCAAGAATATAATAGCTTTTCCAGCTTCCTTTTCACACTTTTATATCAGTTGAGTTCATTGCCAGGATTATCAGTTTCTTCATTTTAATCTCATATCTGTTTTTCATTGATGATTTATCTGTATAAGCGCATTTGTCATTTCTGTTCTTCCAGATATTCTTCCCTGGCTGGGGAAAGAAAACACTCAGTTCCTGCTAAAATGTCGTCTGGAGATCCCCGTCGTCAGGTACCTTCAAGTGGAATCGAGAGCCTAATGGCAGAGTTGGAACGCAATGTACGCAGACTAGTTATTTGATTGATTCTTTAGTATGACCTAAGTGAATGCCTTGTTAGATGTCTGATATTTTTGAGCAGTAACTTATTTGTAAGATGTTTGAATTTTTTAATTCAGATGCTCCTGAAAGTACATAGTGAACAACATTATGAGTTAGAAACATAGTAAACCTTTGCTGTTGTTTGCAGGTTGATCTCTCTCTTCCCATGGGTAGCCCGGCACAAATGCAATATCACCGCCCTCAACAACCTATTCACGGACAATTTGCCCCAGTGTCTGGTCCCTCACAGCCTCAAGGTTCTCCTTATATTCAACCGACAACTGTTTACCAGTTGGGACAGCCCACCCCACCTATGTACATTGTTAGAGCTCCTCCAGGGCCCATGACGGGAATGCCACAATATCAAGCTCAAACGTTTGAGCCCCGTGCACGGGAAAGAAAAATAATCCAGATAAAGGACCCAAATAGTAGCTCAAGCACCCCACCCTTGACATTACAGCAGCAAGCTGAGGCAAATGTCAGGGCACAGTTTGCAGCGCAGCTCGCAGCAATACTAGCTGATTCAGAAGACAAGCCTAAAAACCCAGAAGTTATTATTCAGAAAGCGCCAGTAAACAACAAGACAGTTGTGGATACTGTTCAATTAAAAGAGACAACAGTTACTCAGAAAAATGAAGTGGTAAAAGAAACAGGAACGAACCCTGCTACTGGGATAGATACCAAGTTAGCTGAAAGGTCTCTTAAAACACAGCCTAAAGAAGTGCATGTGAAAACGCGGCCCAAAGAAGCTGTGCAGGGCTCTAAACTTAGTGAGAGAGTTTCAGGAGACATTGCATTAGGCCCAAAGTCCTTGGTTAGCTCTGTGAATGCAACTACATCAGTTAAGGATATTATCCCCAATGTCAGAGTCGAGATCTTTACTGCAGATGAACTACGTAAGAAGGAAGCACAACAAAGTAGCGTTCAGAAGGCACCAGTAAATAATAAGGCATTTGTGAATACTTTTCAATTAAAAGACACAACGGTTACACAGAAAAATGAAGTTGTAAAAGAAACAAGAACGAACCTTGCTACTGGGACAGATACACAGATATTGCCTGAGGGAAATGTCAGGGCGCAGTTTGCAGCGCAGGTCGCAGCTAAAGGTTAGTTTCACAGTATAAAATTTCTTCCGACAATAGCAACATAATAATTGGGTATTTGAGATATTTAACAAACTGTCTCGACTGATGAGAAACCACAAGATCTCTGTAAATAATACGTGTGCCCCTTCATTTTGTGCACTACGAAGTCACACCAGAGGAAGATCTACCTTCCGACTGGCCATTGCATTTGCCACCCTCGCTCAAATCGGTTGAATTGATGTGTAGTGCCAGAAATTCGTCATAATAGTTGTTTCGAACACGGTGTTTACCTGTCGAAAATCATCGCTGAAGCAAATAACCGAAACACCCTCGTAGAAGTGAAGGCCATAACGACCCTGAAAGCGGGTCAACCAAAATTTATTTCTTTATATTTTTATTTATTTGTAAACCTAAAAGCACTTCTTACAAATGTAATTTAAACAAAAACTGTTTTTAAGAATATACTATGATATAAGCTAAAAAGTGACCTGGTTCTGCTGGTTATCATTATGGTCGTTTGAAAGCCCACAGAAGAAGAAGGGCTTTGGTCTCCTCTTTGAAAGCCCCAAAGGAGTTGCAACGTCTCAAATCTTGAGGCAGAGAATTCAATAAAGCAGTGCCATGAAGAACTGCGCTTTATTAAAGAGTTTGTTAATCAAGTTTTCTAAAAGCGCCCTTCTGTAATTGCCACGGGTAGGTGTGCAAGATCGAAATCGAAATCCCCCAACTTTGTCGCAACAAAGTTCTTCTGAATCTTTTTTTTTTTTGGAAATAGAGGACTCAGTTCCTTTGGATATGCTTTTTCCAAAATAATCATTTTTTTTATTATCAGTATAAGATAGAGGCATCAGTAAATCCTGAATTTGGTTCGACTCTGGCGCGACGTCTGAATCAAAGTTGTTTTCCTGCCGTGCTACAGTCGATCCAAATTACAATTAAGTTCGGCGCGGCAGAAGCACGACGTCTGAACTGGGCCTAACAGCCTAAATTTCAGCCGTCTCCTCGAATCGCAAACTCCCGGCTCATGCAATTTTGATACTTTTTGGAAAACTACACTAAGGGAAATAAATTCCAAATTAAACGAAGAAAGTCGTATGATTACCGTTTAATAATACACGTGAAAAAATTTACTTGTGTGGCTTTGTTTAGATGCTTTCCACGGCCGGCGAGACGTAGTTGCCTTTGGCTTTACCATCCAAAACTTGCGTCGAGGAGCTGAATTTAATTGCCTGTCTTTAATTATACACCTGCAGGTCAGGTTTATCCCTTCCCTTTCAAATGCCTGTCCAAAGCTGTCATCATAACTTTGAAATTATCGGGCTCGCAGTCATCTCCTTGTTTGTTCTTATAAAAAAATCTCAACGTAGAAACGTCCGAGTGGTTTGTTCAGCTTTTTGTTGAGGCTCGCAACTGTCAATTTGCTCTGAAATTCTTTTCTCTTTTCCCATTTCTTGAGAACATCAGCTCAAAATGAAGTCCTTTTGGCAGTGTTGTTTCAAGAAGTTTTTTTAATTGTTCAATTGGATTTTTCTGCCGCGACAGAACTAAAATCGGTTTTGTACGTCGGCCAGTTTTCCAGTCGCAAACTTCAAGGTAGGTACCAGCAGATCGCGGCACCAGATGGTTCTTATATTGTTTTTGGCCAATCACAGTGTTCCATTCTCTGAGACATTTGCTTTTTATTTCCTTCTAGAAATTCCTTTCAGAATTGCTGGATCAGTATCTATATTTCAAAGATTGTGATTTTTGTCGCACTCACTTGGTGAATTTAGTTTTGATATAAGACGCAGGAAGATCATCAAGAGTTCTGTGTATTAGCATTAATTTGTTTTATTATTCATTCAAAATATTTCCCCAATTCTGATTGGCTAAAAGCACACGCATAATTCACGATAACCAGTTACTGATGACCAAATTTTGAAGAATTTTGTGTTTAACGAGGAAATGACGTCAAAAATGCAGCCTTCTACAGGTTAATGCACCGTTAACCGAGAAGACCTGGGGACGAGGTTGAGTTGTTTTCCAGTGTGAAAACTAAAATGGCGGACACTTCACTAGTTTCAAGAGTGAAAACTACAGCTGGAACTAGGCGAAATAATGGCTAAAAACATAGCAAAAACAGCAAGGAGACAACTGGGAGGGCGACATCTGCTATTTGGAGAATATTTGCGGAGCTGGACAAACTCGTACACTTTCGAAAATAAACTCTATAACATCGATGCAGGTAAGCATGTTTTAGCTATGTTTTTAAACTAGGAATTATTTTGAATGAATAATAAAGCAATTAATGAATTCGGCTTTCGTAGGATATGAAGAATTACGTAGATCTCGGAGGGTGTTATCCACGATAACACCATCCTCGATCTGCTTAATTCTTCATATCCTACTCAGCCTCATTCATTAATTGCTAAATATTTGCGTCTTTGACCAATCGAATTTCATAGCTTGAACTTGTAACCACTTTCAGTGCGTGAATGGCGTCTGCGGAGTGCACCTTTTAAAACTTCAACACAGGTATCCTAGACNCATTTGTTGTAAAATTTCTTGCTTGCCTACCTCTCCTAGGATTTTCGAACATCTACAAAATGGTATAATTACCCATTTTTAACGGATTTTGACCCTAAAAAAGGCCACCTAGAATTTTCGGGAGCCTTTTCCTGGCTGAAATTTTCGAGAAGGTAAGTTTTTATCCCTATAATTTTCGGATCACTAGACTTTCAGCTAGGAAATCCGAACAGATGAAAAGTTTTTAGGGGATAAAAATATGCCTATATCTACCGTTTGAATACTAAAATACGTTCAACAATGCTATGTTAAGTGGTTTTGAACTATATCCTCGTTGGGTACCCCTGTATGATGATGTAGTTAACATACACTTTGTTTTCGGTGTGTGGGATTGAAATTTGTTTGCTACGAACCGCGTAGCTACAAAGAGCGTAGAGCGTTACAAAAACAGCGTTACAGCATTATAAACTCAGCAGTAATTACACAAAATAAAAATCAGGGTTGACAGAGTAGGGGCACCCAACGACTATTTTCTGTGAATTATCTGTTCGGAGAAGCAAATATTGCCCAGAATTTTCTTTTGCTTGAGGACAACTAGAATTTTCTAGATGACCTTTCCATTCAGGTACAATTTTCGAGGCTTATCTAATAACTTCCCTCAGATTTTCTGAAGTTTAACGTCTCACATTTTACTCCCCATGTTGGGCTAATTTTCGTAGGAGGAAACCTAAAATTTTCGGGTTCAAAAATGTGAGGAAGAGAGGAATAAGAAAAAATCTCTCTTTCGTAAAACGCTACTAAAATGAAATTTCATCTAAAATTTTCGGGAAAATAAATAATAATAACACTTATATAGCGCTTATCCGCATGCGTTCTAAGCGCTTAAATAAATAAAAATAAAAAAAATAAAAAATACTGGGGCCCGTGTAATTTCGAAAAGACTCAAGTTCCCCTAGGATGACCGAACAGATACAAATTTTATAGCGCCGCTTAGAATGCATTTCTAAAGATGTAAAAGTAATCTGGATAGCCTAAAACGAGTTTTCAATGTATTTAGGAGGAAACCGTCTTTGGTTGCCTCTGACTGAGATGACTCGTATGGCTCTTGCGTAGCTTAACAAACCTTAAACATAGTCTATTAGCCCCTTGAGACACCCTCCAAGCTCGCCTTAAATATTTCTGCAATTATTACGTAACATAGTAAACATACTCTTGTGAAACAAGCAAAACGTTACAAAATATACAGGGTGTCCCAAAAGTTTGTTCCTCTACTTTATAAGTCTGCAATGCAGTACGATTAGACTTGATAGGCAAATAGTTTAACCAAAAGTTGTGAAGACCACGAAAGATAAACCCTCTCAACAAAAAACACTCAGCTACCTGAGAGCATAAGCATGTACATGCTGATCTACTGGCTATCTATCTGGCTACTGGCCTATCAGTTAAAAAAAAAATTACTAAAAAAAGGGAAAAATCTGAATGTTGGGTGGTAAGATGGTCATCGAGAAATGAGGGTTTTAAAGACAAGAAACGAGGGGAAAGTCCCAGAGTCCGCAATAAAAGAGGGTTAAGGTACAATAGAGGAAACCCGATTAGGTAGCTGTCACAACAGACAGTAGGCTAAGTTTTGAGCAGGTTCATGAAAAGCAACGTTTTGAGACCCCTGAGAGGGCAATGATTAAAAATACCTCTACTCAGTCCGCCAGGCAACGTTTACCTTGTCTCAAATTTGTAAAGAAGTACAAAAGCCTTACTGTGGAAAGGGGCCGGGACGATTAATCGATCAATGATTAATCAATGCCCAAAATATTTTTTTCAGCTGCTGAATCTAAAAAATTATATTGTGTGGGGGTCGAAGTGGCTCCTGCTTACCAGGTGATAAACTAAGGCTTAAAATGAATCATCTGGGCTTTACACGCTACATGACTTACTCCACTCAATGCCACAACTGCTACAGAGTGTGATAGAAAAACAAGGGGCCATGCCAGTTACTGAACTTCTGAATACATGCACTCGAAAGAGCAATAAACATCTTGTAGAAATTTCATGTCAAAATAAAGTTTTGATCAAAAGCTTTAGCTCATGAAATTAGAGGAACGAACTTTTGAGACACCCTGTATTTACTCTGGAGTGTGAGAGAAGAAGATCGGACTAAAATTTTGAGACTAACGAATGATCAATTAGCTATCCGTTTAACTGGCGGAAAATTTCCTCACGTCAGAATCTTGCTAATCTTGCTATATGGGCAGAATTGAAATCGGAAGGTAATTCTCAAGTTTGCGTCGTTCGTCGATTTTATATTAATATTGTTTGTAACGCGTGCACTCTCAGTTACGCCTACTCGATCTTGTAAGGTGAATGATAACAGTTAGTGACGGTACTATGACCTCAGGTGCTTTTCATATGAGACATAACATAAACTGCCGCTTATAAGCCCCCCCCCCCCCT